AGGATCCTGAGGGAACAAATGGCTTGTGAATCTATTGTTGGCCACCGGCTACCATGGGACTGCATCTCCTAAGGTTAATCCACTGCCTTGTGAATTAAACCTTTGGGTCAAAGACTCGGGGGGAGGGGGGTGTTGGCCCCTAAGAAAACTACCTGCTTCGTCTTGGGCGCCCGGGTAGTATTCCACCCCTAACACAAATCAAATGATTTGTGTGGTGCATATATATTTGGTGCCTTGTTGTACCGGTGTTTGTTTAAATAAATATGAATTTTATTGAAAAATCCTTAAAAGCACTAAATCATTACCAGTAACTCTGTAGATTTTTCACTTTCAAAGTTTCAATAACATTTATATGCACTAGTAAAAATGTGTGCATTACCATCATTCATATTCGAGTCTAGATTTGACTAGTCTCTATAGAATTATGTGCATCCTGAATGCGTACCTCAATGTTACCTTTTATTACCAAGTTTTTGAAATATATTTAAAACGTGCTCAGTAATACAATCCAAAAAGCATGTTTTGCAATACTTCGGGTTCGTCAGTTGGGTGTCAATGCATCCTAATTTTAGTGTCGTTGCATCATAAAACAAACGGATAAGTTAAGAAATGAAGAAACAGAAGTTTAACACTGGGTAGTTAGTAAGACCAAGGTCCCCCAAGGACTTTAATATTATCAAGTGGTTTTTAGCGAGTACTCAGTGCTATTGGCATCTCAAACCGGTACTAGAATGGCTGTTCAGTACTTTCTAATATTCTAGTAGTTGAATCAGTTCCTCATGAAAATTGCCTCCAAAATATGTGAAACAGTTAGCAAAACTATTTAATTTTAACAAGATATCCAATATTGTTCAGCCGCTGTAGCTTATAACAATAACCTTAATAATTGGCAAGAATGAAAAATTCACCCGGTTTGTTTAGAACATATCAATCTTACCAAATTTATTTGCATAAAATGATTTACCTACTAACAAGTAGCATATCAGTAACCAAATTTATAAAATCCATTACATGTAATATTCTTTACAAAGCTAAAGAAGAAAACGATTGCACTTTTAATTCTAAAATAATTAATTAAAAACTTTCATTACAAATATGAAAATTGTACAGAGAAAAAACATAAAACTTGAAGAATAATTTCTCAACCATCGCAAGTCACGAAAAACATATACCTTATGAAATGATAACGTATTTCCTCAAGCACGTTTTGTGGATAAAATACGAATAATTTGAAAGTAACTAAAGTTATGCTGACTATGTAATAAGTAATGTTACCGTTACTTATATCAACTAACAAACTAGAAACAGCTCAGATTAGTTAGTAATAGTCGGAGTGATGACTTAGCGGTTAACGGTTTTGAATTCTGGGGACACTAAGTTAGTTTCGAGGGAAGCTCCTTCATTATCGGTTTGAGCAACCAGGTTGCATCAAAGCGGGTGGGCGTGCGAGTGAACAGGACCAAAATGTACATATATATACAGAATGAAATGAATGAATCATCGAATCAATTAAATAAATAACCGTAATGCTAGCAGAATGAATGTATGCGTATGCAGTAAGCAATGCTCAAACATACATATTCATACAAGTGCAACAATAATAAAGGTACAGTGATATAGGTAAGTTGTTATCATACGACTGACTCTATCCGTTAAATAAGTTAACAAAAGGGCTTAACCGAATTAAATATGAACAAAATCAATTGCACGAAAGCTACTATAGATTAATTAGGTTATCAGTTGGCCAAGGTTAAACGAGCGATTGAACATATTTCTTTTGGACATAAACCTCCAGCGTTTTCATCCGAATAGTTATTCCTTCAGCCGTCTGAAGGGTTTGAGCAGATTGCTATTAACACGATATATTAGTCATTATTCTTTTATTTTATACTACAAACAATCCTAAATTCACAACCTACAGTTTTAAACGATGTATTTAGCCTCAAACCTAGACACTTTTCAAATTAGTAATTTGAATATATAATTGTAGAACCTGAAGAAAATTTATTGAAAAGAATATTCTTCGTTCATATATATGTGTTTTAACATGATGGGAATTTTTCAGAGATGCGCACTGATGAGGAGTCCCACATAGAACGAAACGGCCGTCCAATGCTTCCAGGTTTTCCATGGTGATCTAGCTTCAATTAATTCATGATCTTAACTATTGAAATTACTACAATCTCCATAAAACCCCTTCTGATAACTAAAATTGTTGAAAAAAGTATAACTATAAATAAATAAAAACAAAACTACGTAAAGATTACACAGAAATTTATTTCGCATATATAGGTATACAAAAAAAGAAACAGAGAGAAGTGATGAAAAAAAAGAAAGAAAACGAACTGAAGAGAGAATGTCTGATTGTGAGACGAAGTGATCAGTCTGATTGTTTTCTTTCACAAAATGAAATTATGATAATAAATTAATTATGTTCCTGTTGTGGATGCGCAGGAATAGACCAATAATTATCATGTTAAGTTCAATGGTGTCCTTGGACTTTAAATGGACATTTCCTATTGGTCGATATCTGTTCACTTGTTGAATATTGTACAAAATGTTGTTTCCTATTTTTATGGTACGCTGTGGTATGCTTGACTAGTATATAAACAAAGTATGTTTGAAATATAGTGATTCATATCTCCGAGGCTGTGACTTGTGTTCTGGACTCAACTGACTGGGCTAGACAGGGAAGTGGGACCAATAGAGACACTAGGTCGTCCATACGTGTTTTCCGTGTCACTGTACTGCGATCGATCAATAAATACGCTGCTTATCAAACCCTGCAGTCTCACAACGTAAATTCATAACAATTGGCGACGGGGTGGAGAAAAATTTTGAACCTTGTAATTGGACGAGATTCAGGTTAATTGTTTCGACCAATCAGCATCCAGATTGTCACCAGCGTCCTTGAGCAACATTGGTCATTATTCCTACAGTTAATTTTCATTGCAGGTGCTGAAAAAAAAATGACTACCTTTTCCGATCGATTACAGCTTCTACTTGAGCAACAACAGCAGTGCTTCAAAAATAGCCAGTTAAATTTTTTAGAAAATTTACGCACACTGTTGGTAAATGTTCCATGTTTCGGAGGTGCAACAGAAGTTGGTAAATTCATTTCTCATCTGCAGACTGAGCTGGAAAACAACTGCAGAACATATGAAGCTGTTTATAAAAGCCTCTGTGAATCCCGGACGACCAGTGATGTAAACGAGACAGTTATTCATGGTCCGCCCAGTTGTCCAGAAATGTCAAATTCCGAAACGTTCCCTGTCGTGGGTTCAAATCCCACTGTTCCTGAAACGTGTACAGACAGTGATGTACCCAGCTCACAGGAGGATCTCTTATTAAATGCTCATAAATTAATTGCAGTACCCGCCCACAACGGAACAGGGAACAAATCGTGCGGTACACTGAATCCAGCTGTTTCAAATGGTCCTCATCATTCAACAACAGGAGATTCTGACGAATCTTATTATCTAGATCTTTTTGTACCAGAAAATGTGTTAAATGCATTAAATGATGATCAGAAATCTAATACAATTTTGATAGATGTTGATTATCGCAGTGATCAACTGTTTACAAATGAGATTTTCAACAAATCCCGTGACAATGTTCCAGAAGAATCAAACGTTGGTGACCTCATATCAAGCGACATTGTTCCCCACTATTTAATCACTTTCAGTGACTCCCCTGTTCAATCTGACAATTATGTGTTAAATAAAGTCAAATTAATTCTAACTTGGGAATATGAGGACCCAACATTATTTCGTGGGGGAGGATGAACCCAGAAAATTTCAAAATCCGGATATCAACTCCGGATCTTCAAAAAAAAGGGGAGGTGTTGTGGATGCGCAGGAATAGACCAATAATTATCATGTTAAGTTCAATGGTGTCCTTGGACTTTAAATGGACATTTCCTATTGGTCGATATCTGTTCACTTGTTGAATATTGTACAAAATGTTGTTTCCTATTTTTATGGTACGCTGTGGTATGCTTGACTAGTATATAAACAAAGTATGTTTGAAATATAGTGATTCATATCTCCGAGGCTGTGACTTGTGTTCTGGACTCAACTGACTGGGCTAGACAGGGAAGTGGGACCAATAGAGACACTAGGTCGTCCATACGTGTTCTCCGTGTCACTGTACTGCGATCGATCAATAAATACGCTGCTTATCAAACCCTGCAGTCTCACAACGTAAATTCATAACAGTTCCAATGAATATTCTCCTGTTTCTCTATGTATTACACTCCTCAATCTTTACTTTTCTCTATTTCTCTCTACTGCACCTATTTGTGACAGTGAACTAAATCATATACATGGAAAATGTGCAAAAAATTTCTTTTTAATTCAATGATAATACTTATTAATTAAAAATACAACACAGCCCAAAAATAATTCTGCGTTTTTGCAAGAAAATAATAATAATAATAATGAAAGAAACGCTGAATGTAACTGATTAAAAAAAGGAACGAGAATTAACAAAAAGAGAACATCAGAGCAAAAAGAATCTGACGGGAGTAGTTATGATTATTATTATTACAGTAAAGCTTAATAAAATAAGATTTTCTTCTATATGAAGTTTATTTTGTATGACGTTTACATACATACATACATACATACATACAAATTAGTTGGAAGAACTATAGTAATTACCTTTATTAATTGATGTGAACATGAACACAATGTTTTTTTGTTTGGAATCTATTTGAAATAGTGTAACAATAGTAATAATAAGTATATCTTTAGTTAGAACAGTTAGAAATAACACAAACAATTACTCTTACTGTGATAACGATGAAGTAATAGTTTAATAATATGCACACTTATTTCAATGAAAATAACTGGGAATCAAGAAACCATGTGAAATAACAAAGATTATTGTTGTTTATATATACTGTATGAGTATTCATTTGGTAATTATAATCTTATCATTATTAAATTTTGTAGAATACTATTTATCCAAATAAATATGAATTATTTTTTATACGGTTATTACATTTTAACATCAGTGATTAATACATCATCTCCTGTATCTTCAGTTTTCATCTCTGATGTAGTTGATATATTTGATGTAACTGTAATGGCCATTTGAGGTAATTCAAGCGTATTTCTTTTTGATTCAATAGAAGATGATGCTAATGAATTTGGAGATAACTTTTGTTGAATTAAATGTGATGATGATGATGTTGATGGGAATATATTGAAAGGATCATTAGTTAAATCATTACAAGTATTCAAAGATTCAATAGCTGGTGGACTTGAACTTGATCGACCAGATGATTGTTTTAGATCAACCAAGTCGGAACGTAACATTTCATCATCTTCATCTAAAAAAATACCAACAAATTGAAAATACTTGGAATAACATACGGAATGATTTTGTAAGTGTCATTACCAATGTTTAACTTGATAATTTAAAATAAATTGCACATTGAGTAGATTTCTATAAATAAAGTAATATATTTGTAATATCTACTAATCATTGGGATATTACAAATATATTATTTTTATTGATACAGAATGATTATTTATTCATAATTTATAATGAAATTAGGTGACTAATTTGAAGAATCAATGAAAATTAATGTGTTATACAAGATACATCTTTCATACTGCAACGCCAGGTGATACACTGATCACCTCACTTTTTCCACACAACCCTAGAGCTAGTAAATAATGTACAGTATGAAAGCGAGTGCAACGACCTTCACAATACATGATTAAAATCCCAAAGTTGGTGACATTAACTGATTTATAGTTACAGCGTACAAACACACTAGTGAACCTCAGTATTGTTAAGATGATGTTACCAACCAATGTGACCTTTTTCCCGGAGACGATGGTGAGTAAACCCCGAGTCATTGAACAATCTCAGTACAGAGCAGAACTGCTCACGGTGACGCACTGTAAACCCGACATTTTACAGCCCAGCTAACATAATGAAGGTGAGAAAAGTGACTCAGATTGAAATGAGCTATTCTGACTTCGTTAACTGTAGATTGATCTCAGCAGTCAAGATATCACAAGGACTGACAAAACTATTTTCAGAGGTTCAGGACAGAAAGTGAATGCAAGGACAGAATCTTATCAGTCTTGTAGACATACTACGGATTTAGGTGTAAAGTACAGATGCCGATTTCAAACTAATTAAGTGAGATCCGGATAGCCTATGTATCATTGTACGGTAGAACAATGTCATTAGCTTACCTGAGGCCGGTACGTTTTTCTCTAGGTGATAGATCAGTCAGTCAGTCAGTAACAACGTAGAACTTCGTACGTACGTACATCAGTTCGAGTCGCCATACCACATTAGCACAGAGATGCAGTGGTCGATTCAAATCCCGTAGTGGTAGAGGTAATAAGAGTATAAGCAGTAATCGGGAAAATTAGTGTTTGGAAATGTTATTTAAAGAGTATAATACAGTGAAATAAATTTGGGAAGAGAAAAAAAGAGACAAGGAGGAATAAGGAGATCAAAATTTGGGAGAACACAAAGAGTGTATGCACCTGCGCCATTGCAAAAGATTTTGAGCCATGTCATTCAGGGTCTCTAACCATCGGTTGCTATCATCTCGCGGTCCCCAACCAGGTAGTCTACACCTACCGACATGACTCAGACCACTTGTCAGTGACTTCATGGACTTGTGCCATGTTTTGGTCTGGCCGCCCCTAGCTTTCTTCCAACCTACTCCTATACCACTGAACATCGCACGTCGAGGCAGTCGGTCGTTGGGCGTACATAACACGTGTCCAAGCCATCTCAACTGCTGAAGTTTCACTACTTCATCAATTGATTTGCCATCCTTACCTAGTACCCGTTTCCTAACAACTGCATTACCTACTCGATAGATAGATCTACCCAACCACTATGTGCCTGCTTTACACTTGGTGACGTTGGGTCATCATGAGAATATAGTACGCTGATTTGTGAATAATGATGTATTAATATGGGGTCAAACGCGCAAAATATGATATTTATCATACAATCGGTACCTTCAGTTAAACACTTATTACACGCTTTTCTGCAGATACAATAAATCTTCGAGGAAATACCTGACTGATCTATCATAACTGATTTGAACTCAAGGTCTAGAATATAAATAAGCATTTATTGATTAATGAAAGCATCCAATTTTGTAGGATTGAGAATTTGAATTATATGCAGTAAATCTCCTTAAAGTTCTAACCTATTATTTAGAGATAAATAACCCTCAAATAATCACGAATTGACTGGAATAGGAATTGCGAACTATTGGATATCAATTTGGTGGTTAAAGTGATGAGGTCGCTACAAAATCTCATTGTCCTAGGTTTACTCCTGAACAGAGTTGTGGATATACACTGATGATGAGTTTCATACTAGCTGGGCGAAACAAATATCCAGTCTTCCATAGCTTTCAGTAGTTATCTAAACAAAATTACTACGTGATGCAAGCTACAATTATCAATGAAGACTTCCAATACAAAATGTTACGAAAATAAATATGATCCATTGATATTGTTAACGTAAACTAAAATAGAACGCTTATCATAAAATAGAATATAAAGAAGCACGCTTAAACATACCAACTTGTGATGAAGAATGAATTTCAGGACCTCTTGATATCAAGGAAGAACTATGTATGACATTATCACTACAAACATGATGATTTTGAACTGCATCGGTTTGTAGTAAAGGAGTATGCTCTTCATCAATTTGATAATGTTCATTAGATTGATCGGATTCTACCGAACGGCGTCTAGTACTCATTGATTCATGAGAATGACGTCTAATGAGATTCAATAGTCTTCTTGGTATGTATAGTAAGAAACCATTATTATTATTATTAGGTTCTACTGTTTCAGTTTCATCGGATGTTGAAGGTGCGCCGGGTAATTCAACTATCTGATTACATATTGGACAACGTCGACGATTACATAGTAACCAGGGATCAATGCATTTCATATGAAAAGCTGTAAAGGTTTGAAATATACATTATAACTATCTATACATGAATTGATATTCGACAAAGGTGAGATCATGTAGAATTTCGTATATACGAAAGTGACAAATAAAATGCATTCTTATATCTCTATATCTGTAGTGCAATGATAAAAATCAAGTATGAAAATAAAAGCACTCTACAACTTTACTTTGACGAATAAGATGTTTAATGTCTTTGGATTTTTCTTCATTCTTTATTTTCATTACTTGATGTGTGTTTTTTAAACTCGCTCTGCCTAATGACCTTAAAGTTGAAGGTCACCTTAGCTATCAATCGTCCGGATTGATTTACTACAAATCGAAGAAATGCTTCATGCAACTCAAAATGATGGCTATTTCAAATAAACAAAGGTTGTCATGTTTTTCGCGAGTTAGGCCAGAAGTGTGTAGCTTTCCAAGTCAACGATGATGATCTAGCTAAACTGTGATTAGCTGACAACAGGTCTCTAGTTTATGTTATCACCCCACATTCATCCGGTACATACTTATGAACTGATATAACAATTCTTACCCTCCTACCTTCTATATTATTTGACAAACAAGTCAAAGATACTTGGATCATTCAAACGATGTTTACTTATGATTGCTGCTCATTAGTTCGATCAAGGATTAAATTACGGCTACATTAGATATATAAAAATACAATTACGACCATGAACGTCGATGGATTACTTAAGAAAAAATAGAAACGTAGTTTCTGTGAGTAGGTTACCGTTAAAAAGAAAGTTTGATGAGTTTAAGCTTAAAATCTATTTTGGTCACCGAAGGTCATGCATATATAGTTTTCCTTACATGCGTTATCACGAAAAAATAATCAATAGTGTTGACTACTATAAAATTATGTATTTTGATATCTGTTGAATAGGAGGAAGAACAGTTAGTACATAAAATATACATTCTCGCTTTTTCCTGTTGTTCATTTCACTTCGGCTGATTAAGAGTAATGACTGAAATTGATGGTATTCTAAGAAACTTCGCATACTGTGTTTTATTTTATAAATTGAGACACATAAATATTGGTATACAGGGGGACCAAAATATATATGCGCCACTCGATAAGGAAATGAAATTGTGTAGAGATCGAGAAACGAAGATGAGTATAATAAAAACAGAACGAAAATGAATAGGAATTGGCGTAAGTGAAATAATAATAGTAATTCAGTTACGAAAAATACAAGGGTTCTTTCAGTTGAAGAAGTACCTCGCACTTATATGAAGGAAGTAAAAAAGTTACAGTAGGATCACCACTGGTTTCTAATAACGTCTCAAGCGACTGTGTTGAACAATCCCTAGGACCCCAACCAGAAAGTCGTGAAGAACCGAGAGAACCCCCAATATCCTTCTACAGCTGAGAATAAGGAGAGCTAACTCTCCTAGAAATGCTCTCATATGGCCACGCGTATACAGCAAATTTCAAGGAAGTCATACTCACTACCTACTCGTGATGGGGTGTTGTTTAACGAAATTGAGAGGACGAAAAGCAAATGCCCCACGCTTTAACCGAGGTGGTGGTGGGCACAGAGGATCCATCTAGAGGAGTTGGAAAACCCCGATTCCAAAATAATGATGCACATGGGATCTTTAGGGAACAAATATAGTATGAACCTATTCTCGGCCAGCACGGGACTGCATCTCCTAATGTTCCTCCACTAGCTTGTTACGTCCCTGATCTGTCTAATAAATAATATAGAGGAGAGAACCTGTCTCCATACAGGTTAAGGACTTGACACAATAGGCTAACTGGTTTAACCTTGGGGCTAGGAATGCGTGAGTCCGAATCGAGACTAATGACCTTGGGTAGAGACGAAAACTATTTTACTACCTGATTGGTTGACGTGAGAGAGAAAAGAGTCAACTGGAACATCACTCGACTTATTCCCGTTTCTCAACTCCAATTCAGATTAGTGTAAGATACATGAATAAATAGATGACTAACATAACCACAACGAACAAACAATTAGAAAAATACAAATACATCCAAACTGGGCATTAGGGTAGAAAAATAAAGTATAAAAGACTATGTTTGAATTATAATAGCTTTGGAACAGAAAAGGGTATGGCAGCAAACGATACATCAAACGAAAGCTTATGGTTTATGGAATAAACTAGGGACAAAACTAAATGTTAGTATATTGGAAACTTTGAATTAAGCGAAATAACGTCCCAAAGAGTAGCTGTTGTTTGTCATGGCTTCTTTATTTCTCCGTTCACCCCACTTGTGGATCAGACCTTTAGTTTAATTGCTCGGAGTGTAACCCTCTAAGAAAACCACTGCTGCGGTTTGGGCGCCCGGGCAGTAGTATCCCAGTCTCGATAAAAACTAAATGATTTTTTGCAACGCATATATATTTGGTGCCTCCCCGTACTAATGCTAATGTGTTCAAATAATAAATAACAATAATAACAGGTCCCGGGCCCGTATAGCTTTCTACCATACTACGACACGATGTCATACACTTACCAGCCCTCAGCTCTTTCCGACCAATCGTATTGTCGGCAAATAATGCACGGAGTGGAATTCTCTGGGACGTTATTCGTATGGCTTGTCCAAAACACCGAAGTCGGTGCTCCAAGATGGTGAAACAAATTTAATTGTCGTCAACTCGGAGAAACCAGGTTTCACAAGCATAGAGCAAAACACCTCTAATCGACCGTTGTAAATCCGACCATTTACAACCAGACCAACATCACGAAGGCCCCAAAGATAGCACAGATCGGTTTAATCCACCATGGCTTTCACTATACGTAAATAGATCTCATCACTCGCTCCACTACCAGCACTTACACAGCTACCTAGATACAAGAACTTCTCAACTACTTCTAACTGCTGACTACTAAGAGTGAGTGCAGGCACAGAGTTCTACCAGTTTTGTGAAAATAATTTAAACTTAGAAGGTACAAAGCACGTGCCAAAAGAAATATGCTACCGTTACGTACTAAATATATCAATCGTTTATTTTCAGAAAACGATTACTTGAACAATAAACTTGAATGATGACGTTAAGCTCTTGATTTATATTTATTAAGTCACAGGCTTGACAGTCAAACTTCAGTTTGAATTATTATTTTATTCAATGAACTCAGAGTGCTATTTAGCGTAACTTATAATCAAAACAAATCGATTACTGCTAATCAGCACTAAGCATAATATGGATATACAGAGGAAAATACATGAATGTGTAGATCACGTGAAATGGAAACAAACAACTAAGTGAACAGTAAGTACTAAGCTGACACACACAGAGAGAAACAAAACACCAGACAATAAACTTTAAATTATTTCTACTAAACAAATCGACAACTATCTCTTGCATATTTTTCAAGTCACAGATTTTAATTTGGAAAAAAATATATATATACTTGAATAATAATTTACGGAGTACAGCTATATGTCTATCTACTACACTAAACCATATGATTTGAACGAGGGAGAGTGACACCAAAACATAATAAAATATGTATGCGAATAAAATGCAAAAGCCCAAAATGAAGTCAACACTCTCTTTGTGATATGTATATATATAGGTTTATGTATAATCATGTTTGGTTTCACGGTGCTGAAATTTTGCTAGAAATGATAACCTCAAGTACCCTTCCTTTCTAATTTAATTTTTTGCTTGATCCTTGCTTTTTATGACTCTAACATCGCTTTCAGTTCGCTAAATTTCTGTATGCCTGAAAGCCATGTTTTCTTTACCATATCTATGAAGTTAAACCAATTTGTTTGCCGTACCTCGAAAATCAAGTTTTTCTACAGTTCATCTTCTATTTTGACTGCCAGATGCTGATGTATTATATTCTGGTTGTCATCATAACATAAATTACATAGAGTACTGATCATATTAGATGTCACGATTTCTCTTTATACGATCAATTTTTTAATTCCGCAAGTAGAAAAGATCGGATATGGACAATATGATTTAAGAAAAAGAATGAATTCACAAAATAAAAAAGTACTAGACAAGCAAAAACAAGAAAAAGTAGCTCGGAATGACAATATGACTTAAGAAAAAAGAATGAATTCACAAAATAAAAAAGTACTAGACAAGCAAAAAACAAGAAAAAGTAACTCAGAATGACATGAACGAAATATTGTATATCTATACATAAACATACCGTGTTGACATGGTAATAGGCGTAGTTTATCTCGATCCACATAGTCCTCTAGACATATACAACATACATCATATGGATCCAGACCTAGTTTATTCAGAAATAAACCGTGGGAAAAAAGATAGTAGCATATTCGGATAAAAATACATTCTAGACATGATAATTAAACAGTAGGGTTAATTAACGCTTCATTAATGAATGAAACAGTATATAATCTACCTAAATTCAGTAATATAGCATGAGAATGTCTCTTTGCTTTTGACAATAAAAATGTGTCAGATTTATGCTCTATGAGAACAGCAACAAACTGTTACACGTGCACATAAGGTCAACAAAAATACGAAAACTTTATCCCACTACAACTACTACTAACACTACTTAATAGTTATCACTAGGGTAACACTGAAGAAAAGTCCTTAACTTTTAGGATACTTCATAAAATTTCAATGTAAATAAATTCATTCACTAGGTATTTGGGTAATAGCCACATCCAAAATATGAAGGCTAATGATACTACCCAGTTGATCAAGCCGAAGTCGGAATGGTTGATAACTAATCATCCAGTGGTTTAACAAACTTAAATCACTTATAAGTAAGATAAGCTAATGTTTAGTAAGCACAACTATAACTACTCAACATGAGTATCTTATGTCAGTTTACGGATGTGATACAGTTTGAAGAATGAAGTATAGTTTATACATAACAAAGAGTAGGGGCCTATTGTATTTATCCACAAAAAAGCGAGTTACAAAAGGTCTCACATCAAAAACGTACATATATAGGAAAACATTAGTGAGGGTGAAAACTTTTAATGACCTGAGATTTGTCCTATTTACCCTTTATCCCTTTGCCTCTATGACTGATCAAAAGTATGGTTCCCATTAAGAGTCTGCTTTCAACAAATACTACACTTTTTCCAACTTATTAACAATTTGATATTCTTGTTATCTCAACCATGCTATGTTACACATCTAATTCGAATAGAAAAATAGACAATCTAGTTGACATGGTTAACAGTTAGTATGAGGTTCTACAGTAGTGAGATTTAAACAATGTATCGTTCCACTTACTATTAAATATCGTTTATGTATGATGTTCGCAACCTACTTATTTCAAGCAATTGACCAATATTTCAGTGAAAACGAATTATTTTACGGTATAAATTACATGATGTACTTATTTGTTTTGGTTAATTCGAATTCGGAGAGTAGTTCAAGACAATTTTGTAGTGTGAATGCTGACCATTGAGCAAATTTTCAAGCCAACTATGATGATTATGTACGATATGAGATTCAATTTTTGAATATCATCCTGGTAATAGGATCACATACACCAGTTATTGGATTTTGAAAACAATCGAATAAATTATTATCTTAAATTTATATATATATATATATATATATATATATATATATATATATATATATATATATATATATATATATATATATATATAAAAACAAAAATAAAGCTTACCTTTTTTAAAACGTTTTAAAACTAATTGACGTAAATGTCGTCGTGATAAACGACCACGACGTATTCGACGCCAAAAACGGCATAAATGAATAGTAAATGCAATTACAAGGATCAGCAATGAAATGCCAACAACAATCAAAAGTGCAAGAAGTACATATTTCAATGGTAAACCATAAAAGCTTACGATACTTATCATAAATCTATAAATGGAAAGTATTAAAAATTATAATATTAAATTCGAATAAATCATTTAAAGGAGACATAAAATGAACAGTAAAATTGAGGGAAAAACTACGTAAAACGTAGCCATGTGATGATAAGTAATTACCTGATTGGGGTCCACGTGATTATCGTAATTAATAGTTAGAGACTATGGGTGGAATAGATTAGAATCCTTCGCAATGGAGCAGGTGCATTCACTTTTTGAGTTCCTTTAGAACGTTAATCCTGAAATCTTATACCTGTTTTGTTTTCTTTTTCTATACCTATGTTATTACTTGTACTATTCTAGGATTTGTCTTGAAATAATTGTATCTCGCTGTGCTAATGTAATACAGCAACTAGGACCGATGCACATATATGTCAGGTTTTACTTGGCATATCACTGACTAACTGACTGACAATAAACCTTTTTTGATATGTTACGTCGCACCTACTCACTTAAGCCTATTGTCCCTAGTGGAGAAGCATAGACTACACAACAGGATTTTCCATGCGATTCTTTCCTGGACAATCTTTTCCAGGTGCTACCCATTTTTTTGATATCTGCCTCCAATTTCCGATGTAATGTGTTTCTTGGTTTTTCTTCTTTCCTCTCCCCTTCAGGATTCCAAGTTAGGGCTTGGCTCGCAATGCATTTTGATGACTTACTCAATGCATGGTCGGCCCACCCAAGCGTCTTTTCTTGATTTCTTCAGTTGGAAGCTGGTTTGTTCTCTCCCACAGTAGGTTTTTGCTGATGGTATCCGACCAACGAACATTCAGTATCTTCTGTAGACAATGGTTTATAAATACTTGTACATTTTGATAACAGTTGTAGTAGTTCTCCAACTTTCAGCACCGTACAATAGAACTGCCTTGATGTTTGCATTAAAGATTTCGACTTTGGTATTGGTTGACAGTTGTTTCGAGCTCCATTGAGTTCGAATTCCGGTCTGCTGATCTAGAAGTTTGGTGTCTACTGAGCCTCTCATCCGGTTCAACAATTTTCTATTGAAAACGTTTACCGGTATTCATAGTGGTGCAATGCTCCAGTATCCTGCGGGAACAAATGGCGTATGAACCAACCGTTGGTCACCGGCTTCCATGGGACTCCATCTCCTTACGATGCTCCACTGCCTTGTGGATCAGACCTTCAGGTCGAAGGCTCGGGGTGTGGCCCCCTAAGAAAACCACCTGCTTCGGTTTGGGCACCCGGGCAGTATCACAGCCCTCACACATATCGAATGAGATTTGTGTGGCGCATATGTATTTGGTGCCTCTTTGTACCATTATCTTGTACCAAAACTATTACACAATTGGTCTGGACTGAATTAAAATGTGATAGATATCTGGCGGGTTACTTAGTGAGGTTAGATAAAACAGTTGTGTTTTTGAAAGTCATACTTGACCTTTAAAATGTTATCAATGCATTTCAAAAGCATTAAAGTAGAAAATCAATGACAAGCTTTAGAAACACATTCTACGCTTTTTATTACATTTTCAAGTGAAGTTAAATGTTGTGAACACCCGAAAAGAGTAAGATTGAAAGTTTATTTACTGCTACTTGCTTGATTTTGTATAATATAAAAGGGGCATTTAGTGGTGTATATCTTTCAAAATAGATGGTTTTAATCGTGGAGCTTTATCCTCATCATTAACACTTTCAAAAAGTAACTTCTCTAATTACTTCATATCCGTTAAATTATTGTTATTTTTAAGGAAAACGGTCAGAGAACGGCTTTGATCATTTTGACGCGTAGTGAGAATCCTGTATTCAGTTTTGGCTCTTCTAATTAATTTACGTAAGCAGTTGCTGTGTGCTATCAGATAGATAACTAAACATTTGATTTATGAGGTTTGGTTTCGCATTTCTTGTTTTGATCAGCCTATTGAGAAGTCAGAATTCCTTTACTGACTCTTCTTTTTGATAACCTGGTTCCCGACCCTAATCAAGTGCAACGTAGCACCTGATACATATGTATATCGGTTCAAGTTGCCATACCCCATTAGTACAGTAAGATGAAATTACTAGGATAAATCCAAGAGTAGTAGACGTAGTAACAGTATTAATGGTAATAGAAAATATTAGACATCCATGATACAACTCGATAAAAAGATAAATTGGTGAAACAATGGAAAAAATAGATGAGGAACTTAAAAACCTAGGGTCCAAAAAAAGAAAACGAGCGAATACACCTGGACCATTACCAATGATTTTGGGCCATGTCATTCAAAGCTTCTAAACATTGGTTGCGATAACCACGCGCACCCCAACAAGGTAGTCTCCACCTAACTACATGGCTTAATCCAATATTCAGTCGCTTCATGGACTGATGCTATATCTTGGTTTGGGTATCCCTAGTGTTCTTCCGACACCCTTCAACACCCGTCATCATCGTGCGTCAAGGTAGTCGATAAGTGAACATGCGTAATACATTCCCTAACCAGCTCAGTAGATGAAGACTCAATATCTCGTCAATCGATTTGCCATACTCACCTAGTACCGTGCACGTAACCCCAGAATTGTTTACTCGGTATTCCCTACTTACACGACCAATGTTTTTAAGATACCGATGATCGAATACCAGTAATTTACGAATATCCTCTATTTTTAAAGTCCATTTCATAGACATAAAGTAAAACAGAGCGAACTGCTAGACAGTAAACTCATCTTTTAATCGGTAGATGAGGATCTCGTCTATGCAACAAGTGACACAAGTATGGCAAGAACTAACAAGGCTTCCTGAATTGGTGTCGAGAGTTTATCAGACGATGAATATGGCTCAGAATCGATCACAATGGCTTCGGTGTATACACTCTTTGTCTTCCCTTAAACTATGAGATTAAAATCGCTTCATATCTTTCTTTCTACGAATTAATTCTTTCTTCCTGTACTATATCCTTATTGCAATCTTTCTTTTATATATTACCACCTCTGAAGTAACTACTTTTATGAATCCGGTGTCCATCTTGTTGTGTTAATGAGGTATGGCAACTTGGACCGATAGATATATATGTGTCTGGTCCTCCGTCGTAGCTGACTGACTGACTGTTCATCAGACGCCAACGCACCAGGGCTGACGAAACTTTCAAGATGAGTGAGATAACCAACATTTTCAATCTAAATAGACAGAAACATATCCCAAACACATTTGGATTATTGCTTAAGGTGGTTAGAAGACTGCGATTTGTCAGCATGTTTACCAAACCAAACCATTATCTGCACATTTGTTATAACGCTAGGTTTTACTTCGTCTAATGTTATAACGGTTGGGTTCCCACTTTTACACGTATGAGACGTTCATTTACATTAGACGAGTATCTAAACTAGATCCCCTCCCAGTGTCTATTCTACAGGACTTCAACACAACTCAGATCAAGAACACGTGATTAGCCTGACCACAACATAAATATATTTCCACATCGAAAACCCAACACAATCCAACAACAATGAACAGTCAATAATAAGTGAGTCACAATAATAATAAGGACAGGGAAGTATGTAACTCATCTGACACCTATCAGACTATCTACATGTCTGACTAAGCAGACACCCAATCATTATCATTCTCGCCCACACATCAACATTTTAAGTTAAAAAGTAAACCTCCTAGTAAAAGGACAATTTCTAAAATGTCAAACGATGTTATCACTAAAAGAATATCTATGGCAAAGTTAAGTAGAAACAGAGAAAGCGGACAAACCCTGACGAAAGCGATTTGAAGTTAGCAAATTCGATGACAGTTCGCCATAAACTTTGACTCAACCAGTAGTATTCGAGTAGAGGGCCTGTACAAGGTTAACGTGCCTTTCTAGTACGCATTTCAATGGTAAACTGTGCCATAAAATCTATCGATATATGGAGTCAAATGCTGCCTGAAGGTCGAGAAATACAACTGCAGTTAGGAGTTAGCAGATATTTATATTTACTAAAACCTAGCGAAGGGCGAATATTTGGTCTATACATCCAAGTCCAGGTCTGAAATCAACTTGCTTCTTTCGAGTTCGCTCTTCAGGAGCCCTAGTTAAGCGTTGGATGACTACTGAGGTTAATATTTCAGATATTACATTAGCCAAACTGATTCCTTTGTGATCATAATAAGATATTTTTTCGTTTTTTTATAAACTGGGACGACTAGCGATCGAGACCAGTCATATAAAATTACGGTCCCCCGAATGCCCTGGTACGGCCGAGAGTGGGGAGAGTTCGCTCTCCCTCTCGAAATACTCTCACACGGCCACGCGTATACAGCTTCTGCCAGGGAAGTCCTACTCATTGCCTTCTCGTGACGGGGGTTTTGTTTACGAAATTGAGAGGACGAAAAGCGAATATCCGGCGCTTTAACCGGATCACAATCCGATGGTGCACATGGGCTCCAGTCTCCTACGGGAACAAATGGCGTATGAACCAATCGTTGGTCACCGGCTACCATGGGATTGCATCTCCTTACGATGCTCCACTGCCTTTTGGGTTAGACCTTTAGGTCAAAGGCTAGGGGTGTGGCCCCCTAAGATAACCACCTGCTTCGTTTTGGGCACCCGGGCAGTATCACAGCTCACACACAAATGATGAACTCTTTATGTCTATGGAATTTACTTTTCTCGCTTCGAAAAACAATCAATTGATTCAAATTATTATCATTACAAATATTGTCATTATTAATACTATTATTATTATTATTATGATTTTCCACATTATTCACCCTCTTTTATACTTATACAGCGGCTCGTCTTTGGTGGAAACTCGACTGTATCTAAACGTTCTCGAGTCACTGTCCGGTTGAAAATTGTATGTTACCATTGAATATGAGTACTGAAGCAGTTTTTCTGAAAGCACGTGCACCATTCAAACTGGCTGCCTTCAACGTTCGCACATTTATGCAGGTTGGACAACAGATAGGGCTGGCTATGTCTTTGGAAAGTCTTAATATCGATGTCTACTGTCTATCCGAGACCCGTATTCAAGACTCTGGTGAAGTACTACAAATTCGCACTAAGCGCTAAAGCTGAGGCAGCACTAGTCGATTGGATCCCCATTAACAGTCGGTTATGTGCTGTTAGATTAGAAAGTTCCATCAAAGTGGGAAGAAATCGGCGTGAGAAACGATGTCCTTTCGTCATCTCCGCCTATGCCCCGACAGATTGCAGCCCGGATGCAATCAAGGATGAGTTTTACCACCAGTTATCTGTTCTTCTCCAGAAAGTGCGTTCGACAGATATTGTAGTACTAGCCGGAGACTTGAATGCTCAGGTCGGGCGTCTAGGCACAGAAGAGAGTCGTTTAGGTGGCCGATGGGGACTCGTTGGTCGCAGGTCAGATAACGGGGACCGTCTACTGCAACTTTGCACAGACCACAACCTGTTTCTGGCTAGCACTAACTTTCGGCACAGTCATCGCCGATGTGCCACCTGGCGTCCTCCCTCTGCATCTCAAGCCTGGACTCAGATTGATCACATCGCGATCAGCTACCGCTGGCGTGGTTGTGTACAAGACTGCCGCTCCTTTTGGAGTACCTATCTGGACTCTGACCATGCCTTGGTCTGCGCCAATCTTGCCTTACTTTTCAGTGGACAACGAAGTGACCGCCATCAACGGATTGATGTTAGCAAGCTGGTTGCAACTTCTGTTGCAAGTATCGAACCGAGCTAGCCTCTAGGCTAGCTACCACTCCACCGAAAAGTATAGATGAGCATTGGTTGCAATTGCATGACGCCATGAAAATGGCGGGAACAGTCAGTTGTGGGTTTGCGAAACGTCCCGCTTATAAGCACTGGGTTTCTTCTGGTTCCTTACAACTCATTGAAGCCCGTCGGTCTACTCCGGGTGACCGTGAGTTTGACCATAAACGAAGGATGTTACGTAAGGAAATTGGGCAAAGCTTGCGTAAGGACCGAGAAGCCTGGTGGTCGAAGCGTGCTAATGAGCTGGAAGCAGCAGCTGCATCTGGTAACTACCGGAAGCTCTTCCAACTCATCCGAGCCACTGGCAGCAAGAAGTCTGGTGTGAGTGAAACAATCTGCGAGGATGATGGGATGCCAATCACTAACATCCATCGACGTCTTGGACGATGGGCAGAATTTTTCGAAGGGCAGTTCAACTGGCCTGCTGCTCCGGCAACATCGGTCAGACTGTCCTGCCCTCCATGGCCGGTGACGACTGATCCACCAAACGAGGAGGAAGTCCGCAAGGAACTCCAACTCTTGAAGCGTTACAAATCACCTGGCCCAGATGACTTACCTCCGGCTCTTTTTAAAGATGGTGGTGACTTTTTGACTAAGGAATTGACGACGTTGTTTACAAAGGTTTGGGAACTAGAGTGTGTACCAACGTCATGGAATGAGTCGATAGTTGTCCCTATCTTTAAAAAGGGTTCACGTCGTTCCTGTAACAACTATCGGGGGATAAGTCTACTTCCGATTGCGTCCAAGCTATTGGCTTCCGTCATACTTCGTAGGTTGTTCAAAACCCGAGAAAGATTGACTCGCGAGGAGCAGGCTGGGTTTCGTTCTGGTCGAGGATGTATTGATCATATCTTCACCCTCCGCCAAATGTTAGAACACCGCCATACTTTTCAAAGGCCAACAATCGTAGTGTTTCTTGACATCAGGGCTGCCTTCGATTCGTTGGACAGGACTGTTCTCTGGGATTGTCTATTGAAGAAGGGTGTGCCTGAGAAGTTTATTAACATCCTAAAAGCCCTATATACAAACACCTCAGGCAGAGTGAGGGCATACAACCACCCCTCTCCATTGTTCCATTCGAGCAGTGGGGTTAGGCAGGGTTGCCCAATCTCACCATTCCTCTTCAACTTTGCCATCGATGACATTCTGGAAACAGCTCTGATGAATGTAAGTAATGGTGGTGTGGATCTGTTGCCTGGAGAAAGACTTCTCGACCTTGAGTATGCGGACGATATTGTCTTACTGTGCGATAATGCCCAAGGCATGCAATCCGCACTTAATCAGTTGGCAATCAGTGTCCGTAGGTATGGTATGTGCTTTGCACCTTCGAAGTGCAAAGTACTTCTACAAGACTGGCAGGATTCCAATCCTGTACTCACCCTGGATGGTGAGCAGATAGACGTAGTCGAGAAGTTCGTGTATCTGGGTAGCTGCATAAGTGCTGGTGGGGGTGTGAGTGATGAGATCAATGCACGTATAGTGAAAGCCAGAGCGGCTTATGCCAATCTGGGCCACCTTTGGCGCCTTCGTGATGTTAGTCTGGCTGTAAAAGGTCGGATCTACAACGCGTCGGTGAGAGCAGTTTTGCTCTATGCTTGTGAAACCTGGCCTCTCCGAGTTGAGGACGTTAGACGACTCTCTGTGTTCGATCATCGCTGTCTCCGAAGGATTGCTGACATTCAGTGGCAACACCATGTCAGTAATGCAGAGGTTCGGCATCGTGTGTTCGGGCACAGAGATAATTCAATTGGTGTCACCATCTTGAAACACCGACTTCGGTGGCTTGGACATGTTCTCCGAATGTCGTCCCAGAGAATTCCACGTCGTGCATTATTTGCCGACTCTGGGACTGGTTGGAAGAAGCGGAGAGGTGGTCAGTGCATGACATGGTGTCGTGGCATGAAAGAAAGCTGCAAAGGACTGGCTTGTGTTGGTCCTTCACGACTCCCTGGTTGGGGTCTGAGAGATGGTGCTACACAGTGGCTAGAGACGTTATCAGATATGGCTCAGAATAGAAGCCAGTGGCGATCCTGCTGTAACCTTCTTTTACTTTCTTCATAAAAAGTGGTTGTGTCTCCCTTACCTGAAAGATTTCTTCTGATTGTATTTTTCCGTTCCCTCATTACTACCACACTACCTTACACCAATCTCTTCGTTATTGTTCTCTTTTTTTGCGCTCCTTAGCTTTTTTTTCTATTTCTCTTCGAATTCTCATTGTTTTGTGTGGCGCATATATATTGGCGCTCTCTTGTACCAATATTCATGTGTTCAAATAAATAAATAATAAATATAAAATTACGTCTAGTTCTCAAACTCTAGATAAGATTCCAGTCAATCTAAAAGCCGAAATTGGACTATTGTTCTCAAAGATCTCCGGTGTTAGTCCATCAGGACGTGCTGCTTCCCCTCACATTGTGACTAGCCATAGTTAGTTTCTACTCCTTCAAGAGTCGAGGGGCTTATATTGAAATTCCATTCAGGTTGTCCGGTAGTAGATAAATGAAGGGTAGCTGGAGAATACTTACACCGTTCTTCAAAGTGTTCTGTTAATTATTCCAGTCTCCTGAATTGACAGTGGATTATTGTCTTATCTTTTTCTGAAGTATTTTTACTAACTCCCAAATTTTTAATATCGGTTTCCTTGATAGGTCTGAATAGTCATTACCTTGTCTACAGAGTATGAGTCTTTATTCGTAGTAGTTTATAACATCCGATTGTTGGTATTTACAACTGAATCTTGGTTAAATAGGATAAAACTGACACCATGGTTTCTGTTGCTTAACACAATCCAAATGTGCTAAAAATTTGTAAAGCAAAAAGGGCTGTGGAGAGTCATTATTTCAGGATGTACATACGCCGACAAAGACCAAACTTCAGTCCTGGATATCTGCGATGGGATGATGCTAGCTCTTGTAAATATAATTTGGCAGATTTATATATGAAGATGTTTGACATCATTAAATGAAAAACTTTATAATGATAATTTGCACTTACTCTCTTGAGCCATTAATAGAACTATTGACAGAATAATTCATTAATTTTAACCCAGCACGTTTATCTACCATAACAGATGGAATTAAGATTTGACTAGCACCTGTAAGGGAAATTATCATCAAAAAGTTAAATTAAATATAATGGACTGACGTTCCCCGCCATTCATAGGAAATATCTTGTCGTTTATTGTGTTGAAAACTATAACTCCAGTATAGCCTTTCTGTTGAGCATTCAACACCTTTAGATCAAAATCACATCCACCGCGTTGAATTAAAGCAAAATAAGAGACAAAAGATACAGATGAATTCTTGTTAAAGTCTCCTGAGCTAATATTGATGGGTGGAGGCTGAATTAACGAACATCCGTTAATTGGGCTGGCGATTACTAAGTAACCCTTAAAATGGAATAAGTATACACGACAAAAACTCACATCTCTGTGGAAAACTTCGGGCCCAAATAGGCTAACAGCATCCGAGAAACTATCTACAACTCCATCAAAGGGAAGATTACGCTAAAAAAAAAGACAAAACTGCAAGTAATGTAGCAGACCTTAAAATGATTCAAGAGATAATCAATAGTTTTAATTTAGTTCATACATATCAGTCATTCTGAAGAAAAGCTAAAGATTTTGCCGCACACATTTTTCTCACTATACATGTAACTACTCAACTGAAACAAGGTAATGATCCATCTCACATGACTTTTGTAACAAATATTATAAATTGGAGAGTGAGAGCCGTTTCCGGACCCACTAGGAAAGATGTAGTATTGAATCACCGAGATGGAAAAATACTTATAATAGTGAACGCAATATCTGTCCAACCATGTCTCAATGTCGATGAATTGCAGGAAAATGTTTAAAGGAACTAAAATTAAGTTGATCACTGAACGACAATAGGCCACATAAACTTGATTATAACCTTTGAATTATTTAAGCGTGGTTTTGCGTTTGATGATTTATACTTTCAGCTTTGGTAACAGGAAATTGATGAGACTATAATTTATGAACGACCTCTGAGCAACGTTAAGGTGACCTTGAGAATGTCTGTTTATAAACTAGGACTAAATGAGGGTTATGAACAAATGTGAGGTATTAGAATTATGATTTACAGTTGATGGTTAGGGTTAGGAATTAGATTTGGGGTTTTCATTATGAACTGTCTTAAGCTATAATGCTAAAACATTATAGGCGAATTTCGCGCCAAAACCCAGGACTCATCATCTTATGTCTGACTGGTTCGTCTATAAATTATAGTCTCGTCCAGGAAATTCATTGGAACAATAGCAACTAAAAGTCCAGAACCAAATTTTCAGCTATTGAATTCAAATCGAGCTATCAGCGAGTGGGAGTTTGTTTCAAAAAGTAGTTAAAGCTAATTCTTGAGATATATTTCAAAGGGATTCACCGAAGGATGCCTACCCGCTAGATTAATACATCATTTAACCCGTCTTTCTGAAAGCCTCTTGTCTGGAAACTTACATCTCCCAACAAGGTCCAGATACGTTAAGAACTTCTTGGACTGATTTCATGTCTTCAGATATCAGGCTTCCTTTTACATACTCATACAAGCTAACCAGTATGGTACAGCAACATAGACAGAGATGAGAGGTGCTGGTTGTTCAACTCTTGAAAATCCGACGACAGATCCAGTTGATCATCAACGAACTTGGTAGTGTCCCTAGCTTTTAGATAAAGGTGTAATTCAAAGTCGAGTATATGAACCTGTACTTTATGAATTATGTTAAAACGGGTAACATTTCTCAGCAACCTCAACAAAGATGTGGTTCTGACCACAGCCAATTGACTTCTGAACTGTCTTTAGCACTTTTTACATGAGACTTAGTCTCTGGCAAATGTTAAAATGCCATTATATGGTGATAGTACAAGCTAATGAATCGTTAAGGTTTCCATACAGGACGACATGGATATGAGTTGTGTACATAAACATTTACATTCCTTTATGGGCCGTATTATCAACACTAATTCCGTTTATTATCAATAATTAAATGGTATCCCATCCATGTGGTTAGTTTCATCTCGTCCCAGTAATGTAGTCTGACAGTTCAAGTTAATACGGTGCCTCGTATTATGGTGAAGACCGAGATGCATAAATAACACCAACAACTAGAAAGACTACTGACTCTGATACATATTCTATTAAACCATTTTTTGAAATAACATCTACTAAACTAATAGCGGCTAGTCAGTCCTTGTAGTTTTCGTATTTCATACATTCGAATAAGTACGACCAGACCCCTCTCTGAAACGTAAAATTCCGGCAACTTGATTTCTTTAATTAATTGAAAAAGCCATTGATATTCACATTAAACGATATTACAAGCTACCACTTGTCATCTTATAAGACTTAGCATTGGTCTAATACCACAGAATGTTTTCGGACACAAAATAACAAAAATCATCTGGCTTTACCACTACATAGGTCCTTGATTCTGTCGAAACTACTCCAAGAAGAAACACACTTCCTGAGATAACACTGAAAAAATCTACAAGTAGCATCAGAAACGCAAAGTTCGCGGGTTTCTTTGACTGGCCTCTCAGTTCAAATTACAATGAGTGTGTTTCATACACTTGGTAAGTGATATGCCCTAGATAGATTGCATAAAACCTTGAGTTTAATGTGAAGTGCTTGAAAATCGACATTATGTTGCCACTTTTTTAAAGTAAGTAATTCTAGTAACATAGTCCTTTGAGTTCTCAAGGTTCAAAATGACGTGTAATGATATTTGGACTTTGTAGCTTCTTGAAGGGACGCTTTACTTTTGCCACAGTCCTGATGATCTTGATAAGAAGTATAAGTAAAATGATTTTAAATGTTACTGGTCTTGTAGTAGTAAATGATCCTCCGAATTAAGCAATTCTGTAAGTCTTCGAATCTGATGCTCATCTCACGTTGGATACGTTTGAATAAGTGTACTTACCCGATGGCGTTTGAGTACACCGTGGTGTGCATCTTTGAAACAACTAGTCTGCTAAAACTATATGCATCAAACATTCCACAAATATTTTTTCGAACCCCCTCATTTGTGACTTCTAATTCTACTTGCTCCGAGTTCCTGGAATGGAAAGACGTCACAGAGTGTAAGATAATTAAGACCTTAGTTTCTCACGGTAGTGAAGGCACTACATGTGAATATTCAATCAACAGGCAAAGGCTAGACAAACTGTACAACAATATCTAAATGGAACATGGATCTGCATCAGATACACCGTGGGGAATAGGAGATTACATTGGCCACCGAATTTCCGGTAAAGGTCTTTTATGAAACTCTTTTCATCTAGGCTTCCTCAGAAGGTTTGAGCGATTCTTGACGCGTTCGAAAATATTGTTGTTGATGGATTGGCTCTGTCTGTCGACCGGTAACTGTTGAGATTCGACGAGTCAGTATAAATCATGAATTGAATTCCACATTAGGTCTGACAGATTAGATAGTCACATAATGGGAAGTTCAAAATCTTAGATTAAGTTTATTATTCTAGTAGCAAAGTGCACTCATACCGATCTAGACCTAAATTTTACAAACTCTTTTACATATGTATTTGCCTATGTGAAAATCCCCTCCATATGGAAATGTTTATTCCTCTCTATTCGTAATGGTTTTTCTGTTGTAGCGGTAAATAAATCCCTAAAATAAATAGCTCTGTAAGTTTTCGACATTGGATGCTGACCATATGTTTTAGTGGACTCATCTAGCTGAAGGCGCTCGGTCAGGCATCCGCACCAGATCACGTGTAGTAACGCCGTGCTCAACATCAACCACAATCGCTAGCCAGATTAGATCAGAGAATCCCGGTATATTGGTCATCGCCAAATATACTCTTCCGATCTCCTCGACTCTGTCTTTTGATTTCTCTTGGTGGGAACGAAATATCTTAGAAGGTGTTACTGGTAGAAGCGTTGTCAAACACTGAATACCTGTGACATCATCATTGGTGAGACCGTCGTGATCTGGTACACCTTATTGCAACTGTGAGTCTGTTCCTTTTTGGGATTTTTATATATCATTGCCTTATTTTTTATTTTTTTTAAACATTGTGATTTTTTTTCGTGTTTTTCTTGGATATATATATATATTTTCCCCTCGTTCATTATCGTACTTCATATTTCATCATGACTGAACAGACACCTAAAGTACTCAAGCTTAAGACCTTGTCCCCACCTTCGTTTCAACTGATGCCTTTCTGGCCCGACAACATCGAAGCCTGGTTTTGCTACGCAGAAGCCGACTTTTCCGAGCACGGCGTGATCGACACACGTGCACAATTCCTCGCAGTAGTCAAGGCACTACCGCGCGAATTCAACAGGTACGTAACACCTAGTATGTTTACTAGTGATGTTTCCGATCCTTACGAAATCTTAAAACGCTCGATTCTTAAACGAGGAGACCTAACCGATCGACAAAGGTTAGATCAACTCTTCAACAATATCGACCTGCAACACGGTTCTGCGACGGACATGTTGCAACGGATGAGAGAGGTTATAGGCCCAAGAACTTTCGACGAAGGTCTATTCAAACAACTCTTCTTGTCAAAACTTCCCCAACAGGTGCAAGCAGTTCTGGTCTCGTTCCAGAACAACGCCTTAGACGAACTAGCTGTATCTGCCGACCGCATTCTAGAAATTACGAAACCTTCTACTACCGAGGTATTTTCAGTCAAAGAAAAGCCTCACACGACTCAGAATGACATAACCGACTTATGTCACACACTCACGCGTTATCTTAGTCTTCGTACCGACCGTAAGAGATCGCGCACACCACGTAGAAGCATTTCTCGTAAGCGATCTGTCTCTAGACCACGAGAGACAGATAACCCCGACTGGTGCTGGTATCATAACCAGTATGGAAAGTTTTCCAGAAATTGCAGAAAACCCTGCAATTTTCCCAACACGAAACCGACTGATTCGGGAAACTTCCAAGCCGGCACGCGTTAACGGCAACCGTAGCCGGCGAACAAAGCCGTCTGTTATTCGTCACAGATGTGACAACGAGAGTTCGCTACCTCGTCGACACTGGCGCAGAAGTTAGCGTTCTCCCAGCAAATCCTAACGACCGACTTCACGAATCGACCCTAAACTTACAGGCGGCAAACGGAAAACCGATCGCTACGTATGGCAAAAGGTACGTTTACCTTAACGTGGGTTTACGCAAACCCATCCACTGGATTTTCGTCGTTGCAGATGTTTCTATGCCAATCATTGGTATGGACCTTCTACAACACCACAATCTGATCATCGACACTCGCAAACGGAGGCTAGTAGACGGAAACACTAATTTGTCCGTTTGCGTAACTTCTTTTACTGGTTGTAGAGTATCCCCAGTCACAGTTAAACATATGATAGACCCACTCTATCAACCACTACTCGATAAGTACCCTGGGATACAACAAACGCAAACGAAACTACCGTGTGTAACCAGCAATGTTACACATCACATCACGACTACAGGACCACCTGTATTTTCTAAAGCACGACGACTAGCTCCTGAAAAGCTAAGGTTAGCGAAAAACGAATTCGATCACATGATGGACTTAGGAATCATACGACCGTCAAGTAGCCCATATGCATCTCCGTTGCACATGGTCCCTAAAAAGGACAGCAACGATTGGCGTCCAACTGGTGACTATCGGCGATTGAACGCGAAAACCATTCCCGATCGTTACCCGTTGCCTCACATTCACGATTTGACAGCTACCTTGAAAGGTACAACTGTCTTTTCGAAAATCGACTTGGTTAAAGCGTATAACCAAATCCCTATGGCTACTGACGACATACCGAAAACGGCTATCATAACTCCCTTCGGACTCTATGAATTTTTGCGAATGCCTTTCGGTCTAAGGAATGCTGCTCAAACATTCCAAAGATTCATAGACGACGTTTTTCGAGGTCTCAACTTCGTACACGCGTATGTTGACGACTGTCTAATCGCAAGTCCGGACAGAGAAACACATCTCAAGCATCTGGACCTTGTTTTCGAACGATTACAAAAACATGGCATAACTGTAAACGTTCAGAAATGCCAATTTGGAACCGACTCGTTAGACTTTCTGGGACACACTATCGATGCTCAAGGTATCCGACCCCTTAGAACCAAAGTGGCGGCCATTCTGGATTACCCAGAACCGACCACCGTCAAGCAATTACGCACGTTCAACGGCCTGGTAAGTTTCTATAGACGTTTCATACCCAGATGCGCATCACTTATGAAACCTCTGACCGACCAACTTCGTGGAAATGCGAAATCCATTAATTTGGACGACACCGCACGAAAAGCATTCTCCACAGTCAAGGAACTGATTGCTAAAGCAACAATGCTCGCACATCAGGACACCCGAGCACCCATTAGCATCGCAGTAGACGCATCCGACTCAGCAATCGGAGGAGTCTTACAACAATGGGTTAACAACTCCTGGCAACCCTTGGCATTTTTCTCTAGAAGGTTGCTAGACACCGAATCGAGGTACAGCACATTCGGTAGGGAACTCCTAGCTATGTATTGTGCTGTACGGCATTTCCAACACTATATCGAAGGCCGTGAATTCACTCTTTTCACGGACCATAAACCGCTCACTTTCTCGTTAAGCTCTCCTTCTGACAAGTACTCTCCCCGTGAGTCTCGACAACTGGACTACATTTCGCAGTTTACTTCAGATATTCAACACATCTCTGGAGCAAACAATGTAGTTGCAGACGCTTTATCTCGTATAACTTCCTTGAACAGTTTCCAAGGAATCGACCTTCTTAAACTCGCCGAGCTTCAAAAAGAAGACAGTGATCTTCAGCACGAGTTATCGTCCACAACACTTAAACTACGCATCAAACAGATGGGAACAGGTAAGGAAACCTTACTTTGTGACACATCTACAGGTAGGGATCGCCCAATCGTGCCGAAACATTATCGACGCAATGTCTTCAACACATTGCACAAACTTTCTCATCCAGGTGTTCGTGCAACCATCAAGCTTATAGCAGAACGATTTTGCTGGCCTGGCATGAATAAAGACGTGAGGGAGTGGGCACGCTCCTGTGTAAGCTGCCAAAAATCTAAGGTTATCAGACACAATAAATGTCCCTTAGGCTCGTTTAAAACTCCCGATGCTCGTTTCGACCATGTTCATCTGGATTTGGTAGGACCTTTACCAGATTCAAATGGATACTCTTATCTCTTAACCTGCGTAGACCGTTTCACTCGATGGCCAGAAGCAGTACCTATCAAGGACAGCACTGCTGAAACAGTGGCCCGCACATTCGTCGAACGATGGGTAGCAAACTTCGGTTGCCCTTCAACCATCACTACAGACCGCGGACGTCAGTTTGAATCTGATCTTTTCCGTCGTCTGACCACACTTTTAGGAATCACTCGCTTCCGAACGACCGCCTACCATCCCCAAGCAAACGGGTTGGTAGAACGTTTTCACCGACAACTGAAAGCTTCGCTATCAGCTGCAAACGTTTCACAATGGACCGACGCTCTTCCACTCGTCTTACTAGGTATCCGCAA